AGTCCACTTCCCTGCAAAACAAAACAAAACAAAACAAAATACACCTCTCTGTGCAGGAGAGAGTAACAGTGTAGAACAGTGAGAGTCAGAGCAGCCAAGCCTACTTCTTTCTCCCCACTGACTGCCAGGACTGCAGATCCAACACCACCTGACCAACATACATCCCTTCCTCTCTCTGAAGCCCACACAATGAGTTATTAGGAGGGTCAACAAAGTGACACAGTCAAAGCCTTTAACACAGTGATTGGCCTACACAATGGTTTAATGAATGGTTGCTTTAAATGTCTTGTTTGTCTCAAAGCCATTTATACAAGCATCATTGGCAAGGCAATGGTTCAACTTTGATGCAAAACATACTCTTGTACCTTTGAAAAGTTTTTACTTATTTGTAGGAAACATTGAAAAAAATCTGTACAGATATCTCAAAACCAAAATTAATTTACAGAATCCTGACTAATAAAGGTGTTTAATTAATATATTGGTTGTTAATAATGTTACTGTCTATGTTGATGCTCTCAAAACTCATTTCCCTCCCCCGGAAATATCATTTGAAATAATACGTGTATATTTTCACATGGTAGGGAATTTTCTAAGTGATTATGAATATTTCTCAGATGAAGTTTTTGTTTCCTTTGGTGGAAACGTCCTATTTGTTTTCTATTTTTAGAAGTGCTCTACAAACTGTCCAGGATAAAGCCCATGACCCCAGAAGCATGCTGAAATTACAAAGATTTTTTGCTCATTTGATTTTCCAAAGGCAGAAGGGAGCATTTGTATCTTAGGATGGGACAGAGAGGGAGAGGTGAAGTAGAAGAGGTCGCTGAGTGAGGCCAGGTACTGCAGCAAATCCTCCTTCCCTGGTCCCTGCATCATCCATAAAATCCTGTTCAAAAATGGAAATGTAGGACCCGGCCCCTTCCCCTCCCATCTGTGACCCTTGTCTCTGGGATCTGATGAGACTGGAGAGAAACCTACTCACGACCCTATTTTGTCCTTTGTTAATGACCTGATCCTCTACCTGCCTGGAAACTTATTTTTCCAGAAAGATTCGGGTCATCCCTAAGCTTCACTTCTTCAGAGGAAGCCCTTTTGGGACATGAACATTCATGCTTCAGTGTGAGCAAGGTTTAATCTTCATGCTATCTTCAAAGATTTCTTATTTCTTATTTTCTCCCTGCTTCTCACCCCCCCCCCCCAGTAATCATCTGTAACCTGACTCTGTTTTCTCTTTTGCACCCATCATCTTTGCTTGCTGTTTCTCCTTTTACACCTCATTTAGTATTTTGGTTGCTTCTTTCTCCTCAGAATCTTAGAATCTGAATGAGTCCAATCTTCAACCAATACTTCTCTTCTTTTACTTGTCTAATAATGTTTACAATCTGCAATGGAGTCCTTTTCCCCTCGTCTATCTCCCACTTTCTCCTATTCTGTTTTGTCATTTTTTTCAGATCTTCAATTTGATTTAATCTCTGATTTCTTGAAACCGAAATGCCACTTCATGTTTGAGATACAGTGAGGGATTGCTTAAATCCATCGTCCAATCATCCTTCCTCTTACTTGTGTTTCCCACATTCTCCCTTTATCATTTCTAAATATATTTTTGCTTAATCACCATACTGGTGCCTGCTGTTACAATATAGCCTGCCTACTTCTATCTTGGTCTCCTGTTTCACTGAACTCTTGGTAGTGGGCTGCACTGTGCTTTCTTCTTGTTTTGAACATCCACTTATAATTTGAGCTAGACTCTCTACATCTCAGCTCTTTGGTTTGGCACAGAAGAAAAGGAAAAAGAGGCAGCTGTGGTACAAAGGTTTGCAAGTATATGGGGGGCCCCTGTATCGAGCTGTGAAATATCTGCACACTCCTGCCTTCGACCTCGCCTTTTACTGGAGGGAAAGTCTCAGCTGTCTGGGCTTAACCACATGCAAGGCAAGCTCCAATCCCCAAACTATCTCTCTGGCCCCATTTTCCTTTGTTTGTATCATATTTCTTGTAAACTACAAGCAGAACTTTGATTTTAACCCAGGTTGACCTTTGTCCTCAAGAGAAAAGTTCCATCTGTTAACATTTTATTGGAACAGTCTGATTTTAAGCTTCTGGTTCTTCCAACACACTTGATCTGCTTGCTGTTTCCACAGTTCTTGGGCGCCTTCTTTCTCCCTTCCTGACGCTGCTAACTGCCTCTTCAGACTTTGCTCTCCCCCCACCTCACCCCCATCCTCCTTGGTCATTTCTAAGCTTTACTCTGATTCCCATTTTCCCTATTACTTAAAATTCCCCATCCTGAGGAGTCCCTTTGAAATCTGTCTTCCTCTCGTGTCACGTGAGTGAAATAATATGATGGAAAGGAGTGGTGCTATGAGGTGCCTTATTTTAAAAATAATAAAATGGCCATTGGACAAGTAAAATAGTCCACCCCTGGGCCAAAGCTTTGAACTTGCAAAAGGCATTCCCAGAATGGCCAACCTGCGCTTCTTCCCTCTGCCAGTATGCCATTCACATAAGCTGTAGAAGCGGGGAAGATATTAGATCTCTTAATATATATATATATATCAGTTATAAGATCTCATATATATATATTTGCTTTTTGGGTCACACCTGATGATGCACTGGGATTACTCCTGACTCTGCACTCAGGAATTACTCATGGCAGTGCTCCAGGGACCATATGGGATGCTGGGAATCAAACCCAAGTCGGCCACATGCAAGGCAAAAGCCCTACCCGCTGTCGCTCCAGCCCACGATAGATTTTTTTTTACAAGACCAAATAGCTAGTTATTGTAGGATACCATGAATAGTTGTGGCAGGATCATAACAATTTAGTGCTTTAGGAAAACTTCTCTTCGTACTATTTTGCCTTTTAATAATTCTTTATCATAGATCTGGTGAGTAAAGTTCTTTTTTGATGTGCCCTGCTTGATTGTCTCTGGAAGCACCTTCAGCTTGCAGGTGTAGAAAAACAATGGCTGTCCAAAGGGCAGTGGGAGAACCATAGTTAGCCTCTAGTTCTAGTTTTATCTAATGCTTCCCCGTTAATTCAAGTCATTGTCATATTTCTAAATTTTCCAAAAAGGCAACACGGACAATTGATTTATAGCATGTACTACTCTTGATCTAGGTCCTATCCATCTTCCTCCACTTTTCTCCAGAATAAAAACCCATGGAAGTAGAGACTTCGTATGATTGTTCACTGCTGTCATTTCTGAAAATCTAACCATGACTAGCACATAAAACTGCTTAATAAGTATTTTGAAAGTGAAAGAAGGAATGAAGGAAGATGCTCTTTGAGCAGTATTTTTGCTTTATTAGCTTCCTAGTTACTCAGCCTCCTTAAACTGACTCCTCATCTTAAAAATGGAAGTGCTGATATTTATTTTAAAAAGCAAGTAAAATTAGGTAAGATTTATATCTCAGTGATATATTAGTTTACCTTTTAAATTTCCTTTAGCTCTTTTCAATTTTCTTTCACTGGGACTCATGAAAGGCCGAGTTTGTGAACAGAAATGTGTATTGTTTTTGAATTTTACTTTATAGAATCAGCACATTGGAAAATCCCTTGGAATTTATTTTGAGTATAAGACTTTCTAAAGTCTGGTTAAAGCACATGATATTTGCTTTTGTTTTTCAGAGAGATTCCAGGATTTCACAGTGTAATCAAATCCTGATAAAAACCAGCATTGTAGAGGCATGAGAAAGAGAAAGGCAGTTAAAACGAATAAAAAGGAGACTCGTCCTGGAGTCATTACTGGGCTGGAAGGGAAGGGTGTCCTGGTTTTGGGTAATGGTAGTGTTTTAGGGTTGGAAACAACCAAATGCTCTTTCCCACAACTCTTGCCTAAACGCCCCTCCCTGCACCCTGCAAATGAGCACATCTGGAATTCCAGGGCGCTTGTATTTGGGAGTGGAAAGCAGCACCCAGTACTCCAGGTCATCTGCACTCTCGTGCTCTGCCCGTGGGCTCGCCCTCTCCTCCACTTTCCTCAACGTTGGAATCTGCAAGTGGAATCTGTTACAACGACCTTCCAAGTCGTGAGGCAGCGCTCCAGGTCCTGCCAGGGAGTGGAGTCTCCATAAACTCTGCTTCCCTCTGTACCCATGACTCATTCCTTCCCGGAGCCCTATAATAGTTTTGAATTCTTGTTGTTTCCTTGTCCACCTCCTCAAGGCATCACAGAACAAGTCTAAGTCCTTTCTTACAAGTGTCAGTTGTTTAAGGGTCCTGATGCAGAAACCACAGGCAAATGCTTACAGAGACCTGGGTGGTCAGTTCATTGGGAAGCAGGATAAGATTTAAGAAAACTGACCTACGGCCTCCTGCCAATGTGTGGTGAGAACTGGGACCCAGGGAACCTCATCAACTATTCCAACTCAGCAGTGACAGTGCACTGCCTCCCGGGAAATCCAGGAGTGTTTGTCTAACTCTAGAATACACAGTCAGTGTCAATGAAATGCATCTACAGGGCAGGTCAGGCTGTAGAAGCAGCAGATTGCAGTCTAGAGTGAATGAACGTCCCTTCATCTTTTCCCCTGCTAAACACAACCCCACATTCCACATGCTTCATACCAGTCCTCGTCTAGCACAGAACAGGCGGGTGCCAAAATCTACCCCCAGGCTCCGCACTACTTCCCATTCTACACCTATTTCCCATCATGTCAGAGGGGCAGACTTTTTTTTCTTTAATTTCCTATCATCCTCAGACTTTTTCTTTACACATTGAATGCAGTTCATCAAAGAAGGAATTCAGAAATGCATCTACAGGGCAGGTCAGGCTGTAGAAGCAGAAACCTCCATGCCACACCCCAGTAACACACTGAGTGTTGGTCTGGGCAGTTCTGTCGTTCAAGTCTGAAACCTCATCTTTTACCTTCCTCGTTTCATGTTACTGGATTGAGGCTCAAGCCTATACTATATAATTCTGAGGCTCCATGGAAAAAGCTTAATTCATGGAGAATTAAGTTCATGTGTTGATATTTAGGTGAATGTCTTTCCCCTGCCACAGGTCGAAAGTTTAAAAAGTTCAACAAAGTCCGGGTCATGAGAGCACTGGACGCGGTGTCCCTCCAGCAGCAGGTGGGCCTTCCCGGCGAGGGCCAGGCCCTGGCCCAGAGAATGAGCTTCTCACCATCTCAAGACATCCAGCTCATCCCCTCCCTCATAAGCCTGCTGATGAGCATTGAGCCTGAGGTCGTCTATGCCGGTCACGACAACTCCAAGCCTGACACCTCCAGCTCCCTGCTGACCAGTCTCAACCAGCTGGGTGAGAGGCAGCTTCTGTCCGTCGTCAAGTGGTCAAAATCCCTACCAGGTAATGAGAATTCCAACTACTTAGCATGCAATAAGATTTTTGCTACATTTCTGGGGTAGCGGTGGTTCATTCAATGAACTAAGAATGTGTGTACAGTAGATATAAGTTAGATATACTGTTTCAGCAGCTCACACAGTTACCAAGAATCTCATTGGCTCTCCTGCTTGTCTGAAACCCAACTTTGTATTCTGGAGATATAAAGAAGCCAGGGGTAGGTACTGGCGTTTGCTGGAGTCGTCCAGCATTACATACATGGAGGGGGGCGGAGAGATAGTAGGACTCTGGCTTCCCACACGACCAAACCAGGTTTGATGCCGGTACCTCGTCTGGTCCCCTGAGCCCCACCATGAATGTTCCCTGAGCACAGAGCTAGGAGCAAACCCCAAGCTCCACTGGGAGCTCAAAAAAGAAAAAGAAAAGAATGACATGCATGAAAGTCAAGGAAGTTGATGTGTCCAGCCACAATTGTTTGAAAAACGTTTGATAAATTTTTCTACAGAGCAAGAGACCTTTATTGACATGTCGGCTCACACCACACCCTAGTATAAACCATCTCAGTTGGTTGATGAAGATAAAGCGACTGTATCTAGCCCTACACCAAATCAAAATCCAGAGGACAGCTGGGGATCTAAGTTTAGTCAAGAAACTGATTCTGAAACAACTGTCACTGTCACTGTCCTCCCGTTGTTCATCGATTTGCTCGAGCGGGCCCAGTAACGTCTCCATTGGAGACTTTGTTGTTACTATGTTTGGCATATCGAATACGTCACGGGGAGCTTGCCAGGCTCTGCCGTGCGGGCGAGATACTCTCGATAGTTTGCCAGGCTCTCTGAGAGGGGCGGAGGAATCGAACTCGGGTCGGCCATGTTGGCTGCGTGCAAGGCAAACGCCCTACCGCTGTGCTATCGCTCCAGCCCCTTCTGAAACAAATGAATCGCTAATTCAGATGTGGGGAAATGGGGCTCCAGCTACTCTCTTCTCTCATTTATATCCCCGATGGGGGAGCAGCAAGAAGCTGGATGACATCATCATGCAAGAATTTTAGTCACTTAGCAGTAAGCTGCTTTTGCTCTTTTAGCAGAGCTCCAGAAGCCAGCATTGAAAGCACTCAGCCAACTCTGCTGCAGAGCTGGAACACACTAATTGCGTGAGGGGCGCTACCCTCATAATTAGAAAGGGAACATTTTAAAATTACATTCTCTCCAGTCATACTCTCATTCTCCTTTCCATCAATTTATTTTCCAAATGTCTGATCACGAATTAAACATATTATGTCATTTTAGTCTCCAACTGAATTCAAAAGCCTTAAAAATTTTTTCTCTCTCCCAATTTTTCTTAACATTTCTCAGTTATTATTCTAATGAAAGGTTTGAAATACAATAGATGAATTGTTACAGAAAAATTCAAGGTTTCATGAAACAGAAAGAAAGATTCCTGTTTGTTGAATCTTCTAAAAAAAATCCATGCTAAGAAAAGTTAATAAGATTCACCATTCTGATAGAGAAAAAGTAATTTTATAGGAAAATGAAAATCCCCAGATTCTTATTAGCTTCTTTCACCTTGTATGGTAATTTTTCCCCCATTAGAAAAGATCTATATGTTTAGAACTTACTTGAAAGCGATTATCAAATTTGACAGCTTTATTAAATAAAACTATTGCAGTATCAATGGTGAACTTTTTCTTCCTAAAAGTGAGTGCTTAAACTTGCTCAACTTTTGTAAATTTTCTGATTATTTGAATAAAGTAATTTATTTTTGTTGGTATAACTCATATTTCTTTTGTAATCATTTTGGAGGCTATTTTTTAAAGATTCTACTGTCAGCTTACAAAATTTATAATAACTGGCTATAGTTTGAAAAAATGATATATTCATTGAGATGAAAGCTAAGTGAATTTTTTTAGGCTAAAATACTGTTACCTGCCAAAGATTTTTTTTTTTACACACACCTACTCACAACCCTCAAAAGTGAGGGGAAAATTTTGTATTAAATTGAGTGGCAGCTTTTTCATGTTGCAAAATGTAACTCATGTGTAAGTAAAACTATGATGTTTGAATATACACTCATTGTTTCCAATCAATGGTAGCTTCAGAGTACCGTTACTGATAAAAATGTTGTCACCTCTTTCACAGTTTATTGCCATGGCACCTATTCTGATAGTCAAGCAATCAATCAGTGATGGAGAGAGTCACCTGACCAGCTCAACTGCTTTTACTTCTGCTAAAGGGCTTGTTGAGACCTGTCTGCAAATCAAGTACCATTAGCCACTAAAAGCCTCTCTTTCATCCTTTTGTTCTTTTCTTCTTCTCCTAAAAGGTTTCACTTCTCTTTTCTAAGTTTTTAAAAAATTTTAGTCTCTTCCACCTACACAGCAGAGCCTGGAAAGCTCCCTGTGGTGTATTCAATATGCCAAAAACAGTAACAAGTCTCACAATGGAGATGTTGCTGGTGCCTGCTGGAGCAAATTGATGTACAACAAGAGGACAGTGCTACAGTGCCACAGTCTCTGTGGTTTACAGTTTTATAATACTGTCAATTATAAGGTTTCATGGACACAATATTTCAACCCTGTACCCCCCACCAGTGTCCTTATTTTTCTCAGGGTACTCCTCCATCCTCCCTCTCCACATTGAGGGGATATATCACACTGCCATGGAAAGCTCTGCCACCCAATTCTTAGATTCTGTTGCTCTGGACCTTTTGTGATTCACCTCCTATGCTCTTTCATGCCACGTACGAGAGAGATCATACTGTATCTGTCTCCTTTCTGACTTCAATTCCATTGATGTAGCATCAAATTGTATGCTTTTACCTTTTCTGATAGCCAAGTAGTATTCCAGTGTGTGTATATATGCCATAGTTTCTTTATCTGGTCATCTGTTCTCGGGCGGTTGGGCTGTTTCCAGATTTTGGCTATTGTGGACTGTATTGCAATGAATATAGAAGCTCAAATGTCTGATTAGAAATTTTAGGCCTTCGGTAGATGCCCAGAAGTGAAATTGCTGAGTCACATAAGAGCTCCATTCTTAGTTTTTTGAGGAGATTCATGTTATTTTTCCAAAAGTCTTGAACCAGTGGATATTATACAGTACCGTTTTTATTCATTGGTTTACACAATAAATGTCTGTTGCACACTGCTTTGTGCAATAACTAACAATTGAAAGAGAATATAGGAAAGGAAAGCCAAAATAAAGGGCTTATAATATATTTTGATTTGCTCTCTTGGTTTATTTGGTGTGGAGGTCATACCCAGAAGTGCTCAAGAGTCTTTCCTGGCATTACTGTCCCTGCACTGCAAGGACAGGCCCTGGAGCTAGGGGACTGTCCCATATATTATTAGCTCCAGCCCTGTGAGTCACCTCCCAGACCCATGAAAATCTTGTTTTATCCATCCATTCCTGGAGCGATAGCACAGCGGGTAGGGCGTTTGCCTTACAAGCGGCCAACATGGCCAACCCGAGTTCGATTCCTCCGCCCCTCTCGGAGAGCCCGGCAAGCTACCGAGAGTATTGGATATGCCAGACACAGTAACAACAAAGTCTCCAATGGAGACATTACTGGGCCCGCTCGAGCAAATCGACGATCAACGGGAGGGCCTTTACCTTTTTACCTTTATCCATCCATTCCTATGTTATGGGTCTGTTTAATAAAAGATGGACTTGTTCAATGAGGCTTACTAATAGGCCAGGATGTCAACTCACTTATTCACTGTATGAGGAAAGACACTTGGAGGAAACTGGGTTTGCCAGTCAGGCTATTCTTTAACAATAGGAAAATGTATTGGGGAAGTCGGTTATATGAGATGTCGGAAGATAATACTAACAAAGGTGATCGCATGCCTGAGCACCCAGAGCAGTCATCTGCAGGTCCCTGAGGGGGTTTAGCCAGCACTTCCTCATTTTTTTCTTTGTCTCAGACCTTCTATTCTGTTGAGCCTGTTAAGTAATCTCTTGGGTGCTGGCAAAATGCTTAGCCCCCTGATAACATTTTTACAAATTATTTTTCAGCGTATATTCCATCTACCTACCTGTCTGGCAATGATTTTACATTGACTTTATTTTTATTTTTATTTTTTTGCTTTATGGGTCACACCCAGCGATGCACAGGAGTTACTCCTGGTTCATGCACTCAGAAATCTCTCCTGGCAGTGCTCGGGGGACCATATGGGATGCTGGGAATCGAACCTGGGTCTGCCGCGTGCAAGGCAAACGCCCTACCCGCTCTAGCCCCAGGTTTCACATCGACTTTTGATTGGAAATGTTTTCTTTCCTCTTTGAGTTTTAGGGCCACACCCAGCAGTGCTCAGGGCTTACTCTTTGGCTGTGTACTCAGGGAGCTGGGGGAATCCTTTCTGGCACAGGGGATCAAACCTGGTCCTACTGTGTGGAAGGGAAGCGCCTTACCCATTGCACTGTCTCTTTGGCCCCTGGGTCATTTTTTTCCTTATTGGACTTTGAAGCAACATAATATTTGCAAAATTTGTAAAAATGAGCATGATATCTGCCCTCTGTTAGGGAGCTTTCAGTTAAGCAGCTCAGGAAAGAGCTCCAACAACTAGAGTGGGACATCCATTATGACAGACAACACAGGTAAAAAGGAATGGGCATAGCCTCACAGTTTTTCCTTCGGGGACTGGAGAAGGCTGTAGAGACAAGGTGTCGGTCACCATGAAGAAGTAAGATGGACTATAGTCTACTTTCAGCATGCTTCTCCCATCCTGGGAGGATCCTCCCAACACCCTTTATTTGGTGCTCCCTTCTCTATCTGAGCTCCCTTTTCCCATAGACCAAACATGATTGTCACCCATTGCCTCTTTTGCAAACCACAACACCCAATAAGATAGAGAGAACAAAAGGGAATGCCCTGCCACAGTGGCAGGGTGGGATGGGGAGGATGGGGGGTGGGAGGGATACTGGGATCCGTGGTGGTGGGAAATGGGCACTGGTGGAGGGATGGGTATTTGATCATTGTATAATTGAAACCCAAGCACAAAAATTTGT